TCTGAGGGCCGTGGGGAACAACCTCATAATTTACCTCACTGATGCGTTGGAGAACCTTGTAAGGTCCGAAGTATCTCCGCAACAGTCTTTTGGAAAGGCCATGACGACGGACGTGTGTCCAGATCCACACCACACTATTTCGCCGACATTATAAGTGACGAGTCTGTGCCGGAGATTGTAGAGCTGGGCGTCACTGTCCTGTTGATCGCTTATCCACAGCCGGGCAAGTTGCCGAGCTTCTTCTGCTCACTGCGTAAAAACCGTAGCTTCTGTGTCATAGGCCTCGTTATCATGAGGAAGCTAGAGTCTAACGTTCTTCTAACATCATGGCCGTAAACGAGACTTAAGGATGTCTTCTTAGTGACCTCCTGGCGAGCCGTGTTGTACGCGTATGTGACGTAGGTTAGCAGCCATCACAATTCTTGTGTTCTACGTCTACGTACACGGTGATCATGTCAGCCAGGTTCCTGTTGAGACGTTCAGTCAGCCCGTTGGTCTGGGGATTGTATGCCGTTGTCTTCCTGTGCGTGGTACAACTTAGTTGCAAAACGATGTCCAAGAGCTCGGCCTTAAACGCAGTACCGGAGCCGATCATTGAGCCTGGAATTGCCACTACGCGTCGAAACACGGGTGCACCGTTTCAGTTGGCGTCTACTAGGCCTGTCGACCGAACTTAATCTTCTGCCAGAAGGTTCCAGCAATTGTCCTCCAACAAACATGTCCACCGCAGCTCCATCTCACCACTTGACACTGCGGAATCCTATAATTACCGACTGCTTCCATGGTGAAGCCTATGAAGACGCCCAAAACTGGCTGGACCAGTTGGAACGGTGTGCCAAGTACAACCGGTGTGCCACCCCATAAAATAAGCTTTCGGGTGTATACTGCTCTCTAAAGGTCAACGCCCAGACGTGGTACACAAACCTGGAACGAAGCTTGACAATTTGGAACGATTTCTGCGCCCATCTGCTCAACACATCTACTATAGTGTTGACAGAAAGAAAAATGTGCAATGTCTCCTAGAACCTCGCATCCAGAAACCAAAACAGAGCGTTGCTATGTTCGCTGAGGACATATCCTGTCTTTTCCACAGGGCAGATCCCGCGATGCCCGAAGACAGGAAGTTACAGTTTGTCATGTGAGGAGTGAAGGAGCAAATGTTTCCTGGGCTGGTGAGAAATCCACCGACAACCGTGGCTGACTTCACCAAAGAGGCCACTGCGATTAAACGGGCCCTACAGCAAAAATATCGCTAGCATGGCATCATGGTTAACTCCGTCGCGGATACCTCCGTTACGGCTGCGGCAGGCTTCTGCGAAAACGACAAGCCTCTACGTGAAGTGATCCGAGAGATTCTAAGAGAGGAACTTCGTCAGCTGGGTTTAGTTCCACCACTAGAACAGAAGCCGGCGTTGTGATTTTTTTCTGACGTCGTCTGAGAAAAGGTGCGTCAAGCTCTTTGTTCACCGGGCTATGGCAACGTGCAATGGCACCTTATTTATGCTGATGCCATGCGATGTCCTGTCATCGCTCCTCTGACGACGACCGCTCCAGCAACTCGTCCACCACCTACCCTTCATACGCAGCTGATTATATCGCCGCCCACCTCACCGCCGCCACCATCGCCTGTCTCACCGACCTGAAGAACTCTGTACGGTCGACACCCGAACAGCATACGGTGGTTCAACGGAAAACCCCCGCTGAACTACCAGCACCGGAAAACCGATTTGCGGCGCACCGCTGACCGTCGACCGGTTGTAAAAAAATCCTCGAGGAGCACTTAAAAAGTCTGCCACTTCTTCTTTGTGTTTGTCATGACCAAGTGTTCTCGCACTGCTTCTCTGTACTTGCCTCTGGCACATACGCGCGGCAATATTCAAGCTAGTTTGCCTAAGTCTTACATAACGGCGTAAGGCATTATGGTCAGTAGAGGTAGTAACGTTTACTAGCTCATAACACACACGAGCAGTAACGTTTAAGAATCCTTACACGCTGAGTAGTCCCCTAAGGACAGCACTTATTATCTCGCGTGTATTGCTATAGAAGCAAGATGTAGTAAAGTTGGCATGACAGTAAAGTAGTAGTCAATGCTGTGGTTACTAATTTTTACAACTTTTTTCTTTATGATACGTGGGCTTTAACGTCTCAAAACCACCATATAATTATGAGACATGCCAGAGTGGAGGGCTCCGGAAATTTCGACCACCTGGGGTTCTTTAACCTGCCTTCAAATCTGAGCACACGGGCCTATAGCATTTTCGCCTCCATCGCAAATGCAGCCGCCACAGCCGAGATTCGATCCCGTGACCTGCGGGTCAGCACCCGAGTATCTTAGCCACTAGACCACCGCGGCGGTGCTTTTTACAACGTTTATAAAGGTTAATTAAAGATATGTCCAACAGTGTAATCAATATATGAATGATGTGACTAATTATAAAGTATTGTTTGTTTCTTGTACCACTGCATTACCGGTCTTTTACTTTATGCAGAGACATTTTAGGCATTTTCTCCAAAAGTGTACATCGATATTCACATAACCTTTAGTTAGTCTTCACAGTCAGCAAAATAACGCAAGCCTTTCATTAACATATACATGCTCAACAAATTATTTTACACTCCTATTATAGCTCCTTCTGCACAGAGATTCATTCGCGAATAAGCATCATCAACCTGACTACGTCCACTGTACAGCAATGGCGTCTCCCACGATCCACCAATCAACCCGGTCTTGTGCTTGCCGCGGCCACCTTATACCTGCAAACTTAATCTCATCTGCCCGCCTAACATTGTGCATGACCACACACGTCCACACTCAATAAGTGATGTGTCGTAATTCATGATATCTCAGATATCGTGAATATAACGTTTCAGAAGAATATTGGACGCGTATCTGCAAGCTTCACTGCAAATGTCGTTGAAAGACAATAGTCTTCTGCCGGCCGCACTACATGAGTCCTGGGGCAGATCTCGTGACGTGGGTAGTATTACATCAAGCGGCAATTTGTGTTTTTTCTTGTCTCAGACAGCACCTCCTTTATATTGAATCGGCTGCGTCTAAGTGGCATTGATAAAGTAGAGAAGGCGCTGCATGTGAAATGAACGCCATCTAGCAGTGGTGTATCTAGCAGTGGTGTCATGAAACATGGGCTTGGGTAGAACCCAGGGCCACTGTCAGGTGGCAGCACCACATCGTCGGCAGAGGGCTTTTTTGTGCACAGCGTCGCATTTTCAGCACAACCTAAGAAACAGTATGGTCTTTACAATTACGTATCTATATACTAGTAAAATAACACACCACCTAACACTTACGCATTGATTTTAGCGCCTCAGATATGCATAACATTCGCTTTTTGGTCGATAATGTTCATAAGTATGAACGCAGCCACAAGTTTATAGTGACTAAGCGTTCAGCATACTTGTGTTTAAACTTTGGCCGATTGACCCTTCGTGGTGGTCTATTGGCTAAGGTACTTTGGTGCTGACCCGCAGGTCGCGAGATCGAATCCCGGCAGCGGCGGCTGCATTTTCGATGGAGGAGAAAATGCTGTAGGCCCAAGTGCTCAGACTTGGGTGCACGTTAAAGAACCCCAGGTGGTCGAAACTCTGGAGCCCTTCACTACAGCTTCTCTCATAATCATATGGTGGTTTTGGGACGTTAAACCCCACATATCGTCATAAAACTTTGCCCGGTTCACTGAATCCTGTGACAGACAGAAAGGCAGACTGACTAAAATTTATGCTTCAAGTATCCCAAGAAAGACTGTCGTCTTTAAAAAAACGTAGCCGTCATTGGCAGTGCATCGTTGTATAGGCCTCATGGGACACTGGTTTTACAGTCATGTGCAACCAGTGATAACGAGTCATAATTGAATTTAAATATGTGCCTGCGCGCGTGGTTGCACGCATGATATGTAGCTGTCCCCCGAAATGCCCTTTTTTGCAACAAAAGACTTGGTAGAGCTATGCTAAATGTGCTGACGACCTTTGCCAAAGCTATGCATAAAATTAAAGGCAGAGCTGAAGGAATCCAGCGGAAATCGATATGTGTCAATGTGGTCCATTGTTTATACTGGCGAGAACATTGCCCTTGAACTATTTTGCTTTGTTTATAGTATTCTTCGTGCAGAAAGTGCTGATGATGCAAGCCTGCTGTCACATTCTGAGCTTAAAAACTCATGTGATGCTCATGTGCCGGCTTGGTCCGTTAATTATGCAGATTTCTTCAGCTTATGCAGATTACCCTCCTTGTCCATCCATACTTTTTTTCCTTTTTGTTAAAAATACCTTTGCAAAAAGTCAATCGCCAATGCTAGCGCGTGTAAGATATCACATAATAATAGCTGAGCCATAATTATGCGACAGCGAAGCCTTGTGTCATTCTTGCATGGATGTTCTTGCGAATCGATTATTCTAAACAGTGAAATACATATGAACGGGAGAGGGCAGGAGGGGTGAATTTTGTTATTTTTGAGTTCCGGAAAAGAATGAAGAGGGGGCAGAATATCGGCACCGATCTAGCATAAAAGTGCAGGAAGATACTTTGAGTATTGATTAAAGTGCGGCCCACGCATCACTCTTCTTTAAATGTATTTATGAGCTTGTCAGACGAGTGTCCAGCTCTTGGCATGTTTGTAGCGTGCGTGTTTTTTTTACAGCCGCTGCTTCACTAAAAAAAAAACACGCTTGGGTTTCGTTGTATTTTCTGTGATTTCCATTTTATCTCGCACACAATTGTCTAATGCGGTTTCCACTTTTGATTGTTGTCGCAGATCGCACGTCCCAGGTTTACGGAGACTGTTTTCTGGCCATTGCCGCATTTCTAGTTTCTTTTTTATATTTTAATCAAAAATCTTCCTAGTGTTTTTGTATTGCACTGATAAAGACTTTAATTAAACCAGTAAGCAGTTTTCTAACTCGAAATTACCATGGCTATCGCTAGCGTTTGGACATCCCTAACATTAGCCCAACTTTACACTGTGCCATTTCTTTTTTTTTTTCAGGAACAAAGTCACAAATCCTACCGTCCACTGACAGTGCTGACGTTTCGACTGAACTTCGCTGTCCACGGCCTCGATCCGTTTGGCTACCATTTGGTGAACCTTTTATTGCACGCTCTGGTGTGCCTCCTCTACCACAGGTGAGCCCGGCGCACAACGTATTCTATGGCGACGGCAATTATTAACTCCTTTTCCGAGCAGGTGATTTTAGGCGAATGAAAGCAGGCTTGACTCCACCCAACGCTTTATAAGATTCTTGTTCAACTTTCTTTGTTTTATTGGTTACAATGCTCGTCTGTAGAACAATTGTGGGACTGTGCAAACTTTACTTGCGCGAGAAACGGTTTGGACTAACGCCCTACTCTTGCACGTGTATACAACGTTGTTATGGCGCAAGTATCGAGCAATGTATGAAATCTGTAGCAGACGCAGGCTGTAGCACGGTATATAGTAACCCGCAGTCTACAACATCCTTTTTTTTTCTTTTGCCTCGCTAATATGCGCCCATAACCGTAAGAGTGCCCACACTTGCTTTCCTCACCCACTGCCCTTCTTTTCTTTGCAACGAAACGTCTCTCTTTAGCCGGTTGTCCGTCGCGATGGAGCTGTGGATAGGGTGCTCGGCGGCTGTCCCGAAGGTCACGCGTTCGATCCCAGCAGCTGCGTTTGCACTTCGATGGAGGCAAAGTGGTAGAGGCACGTGTACCGTACGATTTCAGTGCACGTTTAACACCAGATGGCTGAAATTTCCGGAACCCTCCATTACGGCATCTTTCATAATAATATCGTGGTTTCGGGACCTGCAACCCCAGATATTATTATTTCTTCAGTTGATTCTGTTCATCTTTTGTTCTTGTGTTTAAAAAATAGAAAGAAAAGATAACCAAATGAAAGAGCTTAGGCATAGTCGCGCTTTAAAATATGCATCTTTAAAGCCTGCTGTTACCACTGGCATGCGAACAGTACGTCGCGGCGCGTGTTACGTAATTTTTGGTACATTATACGCACTACGCTTAACTGTATAGCACACTCGGCTCTCCGCATATTTGGCATTGGTTTGCATTGTGTAGATTCACTACGTACTTTTATGTACTCACTTCCGTGGTTGATTTCGTTGAGTGGAAACGTGTACGTCGGATCTTTTACATATTTCGCTCGCTCACATGAAAGCTGCGCAGCGCAAAGGCACAGACTCTATCTACTAATCACCAAACATAATGTGATTGATTGATTGATTGACTGATTGGTTGATTGATTGATATGTAAAATTTAACGTCTCAAAACCACCATATGGTCATGAGAGACGCCGTAGTGGAGGGCTCCGGCAATTTCGACCACCTGGGGCTCTTTAACGTGCACCCGAATCTGAGCACACGGGCTAATGCAGCCACCGCAGCCCTGATTTGATCCCGCGACAAGCGGGTCAGCAACCGAGTACCTTAGCTAGTAGACCACCCTGGAGGGGGGGGGGGGCGTCCAGTGGTCGTTTAGCCTTTTAAGCTTCGCTGTACAGTTTTTATGGCACGTAGTATAAAAGTCGTACTTGGAACCTTGAAAATATGTAGTCGTGTGTGTGGTTGGCTGGAAATTCGCGCGCACACACCAGCACACGCGTTTACTTACAGCAAGCTATTGCTTGTCACACTAAGTCATATTTCTTTACGTTCGGCCGAGAGATGTGTTTTGATATTTCTAATGGAGTCAAAGCCGAATAACATTCAGTGTTTCAGCCCCCATTGCTACTAACAGCCTCGCGCCTTACTTTTTTCTTTGTTCAGTAACATTCGGGGCGAATTTTATTTTCGAGTTAAGCCGCGGCCACGAAGTGCCTGGTAAGGGGAATAAGTAGGACTAAGAACTATCTTTTTATTCAGTTATCCGACATCGTTCTTTATGTGCCCCCTACTGCTCTAGATCAGCAACTATAGCTGTTTCCTTTTTAGTTCCCGACATAAAAAAAGAACAGCGGGAGCTAGCTAAGTGTGAGAACAAAGCGGGGAGTATCTACCTAACAATAAAAAAGGCGGGAGTGGTATATAACAATTAAAGCCAAGAATAGACAGCAAGCAAATTTAGCCCAAAATCCACCCCTCATTAATATGTCCAAACACTATGTGTGGACCGTGACCTGAGCTAAACAAGCAAGGAGCAGTCAACTCAACGAGCATTATGTGAACCTAAAGGATTGCTTAGAGCAGTCATTTAATTTTCATGAATTCCCTCATGACCAAAAGCTCCTCACCGATCAAATTATCGATCGTTTAAAAATAGAAAAAATAAAGCGCCGACGACCAGTGCTTCCCTGCGTTAATGGAAACTCCACGTAAAACAGTGCCCGAAATGTAAAAAAAAGTGCCTGATGGGCCGAAGTCAAGCTCATTTATCATATGGCAATACGCTAAAATGAAATGGTAGCCCCCTTGAATTTTTTTTACTCAATAAAACAGCTTTGTTCTCGCTGATTTAAACGTGTCGGGGTTTTTTTTTTTTTTGTGCGCGCCAGCTGACAAACGGAATTAACTGCTCTCCTAATCGTTTTGTTTTCTTGTGTGTTTCTTTCTTAGAGCTGTCATTCTCATTGCTTTCAAATTGTCGAAAAAAAAAAAGAAATATTGCTTGTAAATACTGCAAAGCCCTTAGTGACCACGTTTTATCAGACGCTGCTGCGGATAATTTTTCAGCATGTTTTTACGTTTTAAACACGGCATCATTTGAAATCAACAAGCTTTGTTGCATGTAAAACATACTGTGGCAAAAATAATACGGCACTCCTTTACAGTAACTCCACCAATATTTGTACATAGAAATGTCCTCACTTGAGTCTGCGTGCCCTATCACGCTCATCCACATTCACAGCTTTAGAACAAGTGGGAGGGTTCCATAGTAGTGCATTCCTGCATGAGCTTAGAATTGTGGCGGCTTGGGCTAGTTGGTATGGCATGACGATAGTTATAGCACGAGAACAAAACAAAGACACAAAGATCTTGTCTCTGTGTCGTCGTTTTGTTCTCGCGCTATAACTATCGTCCTGCATGAGCCATCGCATATACTGCCGCGCCGTCTGGACGGTGGAGGCTTCAGCAACGAAGCCATCAATAAATATTAGGCGTCTTATTGAACTAACCTGTGTCCGTAGAGACACAGCTTAGGCCAATAAGGCGCTCAATCTTTGGTATGACTCTCCGCAGAGGTATAGTGGCTAAGGTACTCAGCTGCTAACCCGCAGGCCACAGAATCGAATCCTGGTTGTGGCGGCCACATTTTCTATAAAGGCGAAAAGGCTCGTGGCCTTGAGTGCATGTTAAAGAACCCCAGGTGGTGCAAATTTCCGGAGCCCTCCAATACGGCACCTTTCATACTCATACGCGGTTTGGATGCCTAAAACCCTGAATGATATTACTAGAATCTATGACAACATTAAAGAAGTTTCTTGCTCATTGATGCGCGGCTTCCGCCAAGTGACATGTCTAGCGATTCTATCTGCTGTAACCCGATCACGACAAAGCAAGACAGAAGAAAAGGAAAGAAAGAAGTAAATGGGAAAAGAAAGAAAGAAGGAAAGAAGGAAAGGAGAAGAAGAGAAACCATGCATCTCACTGCGCATTCACCTACGCCCAAGCCCACGTCCCGGCATATTCTCCTGTCACCTAATCACAAACAATCACGTCTCTAGGGGTTACTGTGAGTGAATAAATGCACAAAAAATATGTTCCAAGCCCTCTGCGTAATAATCAAGCCCGTTACTGCTGAATATAATTGTAAGAAATTACCAAAATTATAAATTAAAACAGAAATCCCAAGCGTTCTGAGCATATTTTATTCCTCTGCTTTTGAGAAAGAAATGTTGTGATGCTGAAGAGGCAGTTCACGAATAGTTCAGCTATGCGTACGAAGTATCACCAGGCACTAAATGCATTTTTTATAGTGACGCAATCTGATTTTCCAAGTTTGGCTGGCGACACTTTATGAGAACGAAGATGAAGAGCTTCCAAACGCAATAAAAGCGATTTCAGGAAGTACGTAGTCCATCAACCACGAAAGTGTATTCGAGTGATGGTACATAGCAGAAAGAAATAAAATGGGGCGTCAATGTATCGTTTTACTATAAAGAGAACTGAATTTCGCAGCTCTCTTCGTCGAAGACCCTTCATTTCATCTCATTTGTTTTCTTCAATGTAATTATGTAGAGAACGTGGGCATCTGAATATTACCACCAGGCAATATGCCGCAACGGTAAACTTTAGAACATGATGAGTGATGATGTTAACAAAAGATGACAGGCTAGTCGATGCCGATGAAATGAGACCGAATGCCGAGCCAGTCTTCGGCGGATCTAAGAAGTTGGAAGGAAGTGGAAGGGGGGGGGGGGAATATGCTTTAAAAATAAAGGCTAATACGTAAGTGAAAATCCTGACGAAGGTAGCTGGCGCACAATACAATTCTTGTCACGTTATTTCGAAGAACTTCGAAGTCTCCTTGTGCGCTCAAAATCGGTAAGTAGCACCAGCCAGGCGCCTATGCTCTATTTTCGGCCTTATGAGCGATTTAAACGAGATTATTTTAATGTGATTAGATTACTGCACAAGTATAATGAAGGGCCAATGACGTGACGTTGGCGACATCGCTATTCAGTACACTAGTTAGGGTGACGCAAAGGTTGTTTGATAAATGGTAATGACTCCTTGGAATGGTTATAATTTTTATATATTATTAAGAAAACGCTGTTTGCGACACGGCAATATATTTTCACGTGTTATAAGCGCACTTGATTGTATTCAAGTTGTTCTTGATTGATGTTTATTTCGTCCAGAGAGGTTGTTTTATTAACGCCATATTAAACAGGATATTAGATTACGCATTCATAAGCCAGCATACTTAATTGGCAAGTTAAGCATATATATAGTGACATCTCTATGGTATTTATTCAGGCGTTGCAAGGGTTTAGAACAAAGGTTTAGAATACACATCTCTTCCTTCGCGTAGAAAATGAAGGGACGGGTTATATCAGGCGAGTTTTTCGCCATCTTGCAGAATAAGGGCGTTTTTCTGAACTGGTTTGTATGTCGCTTCTAAGGCGAGTGGTGCAAAAATACTTCATACGGGGACAAGTAAGGTCCCTTTTTTCACGCTGCTCGCCTCA